TGCAATTTTGTCTCCATTTCTCTTTTCACTGTACATTAAGGACCTTCCCATCCCTCCCAACTTTATCGCCTGCAAGTATGCTGATGACGTGGTGGTCGGCTGTCGCTCAGCTGTTCCTAATTGTTTCTCTCAACTTCAAGTTTGTCCCAATAACATTTTTGTTGATTGACTCCCCGATCTTTATTGCTAAATGTAGATAAATGTGTGGATGTTTCTTTTAGCCTTAAAACAGGCATGGCTTATCAAACCCTTTTGAATAATCAGCCTGAACTTTCTGTTAATGGTAATACCATCCCCAAAGCTAACTCTGTGAAATATCTGGGAGTTAATTTGTCACACAATCTTTTTTGGTCCAAACATGTTGAAAACATTTGTATTCGGGTTCGTAAGCTATCATTCTACGCCATTAGGCTTAAAAAGCTCGGCGTTCCCTCAAATGTAATTCTTAAATTTGTGACTGCTTGCATTCTTCCACATTGGTTGTACTGTCCCCCGTATATTCTCCTGGTCTGAAGGAGAAAGACTTTATTCTCTTTTCCAGATCTCTTAAACTTGTCTCTCTTCGCAGCGGCATTTCAAAGACCGTTTTGGTTGACTTTATTGTGAGCAAGCATTTTGACTCATGCGATCGATTTATTAGCCATATCCTGTCCAACGAAGAACACTGCCTGCACTCCCATCTCAATAAATCGGTCTCTCATCCGAGTACCCGTTCCCAATTTCAGAGTCTTTGTGCACGCACCATCACACACAAAAACAGCATGATCCCTTATTTTGCTCTCATTTTGATCAACCGAGCAAATACTATTGATGACTTGAACAATCACCTCTCACATTAGGATTTTACGTAAATCCGTCTGTTTGTCATTTAGTAAATGTATATTTCTTCTTTTTCCAATACTTAACGTTTTTTCCCTACTGCAACATGTCGAAAATGCTGAAAATTCATCCTATCGGGTGCAGAAAGCTTTAATTGACTTGACTGACTGGACTTGACTACTTCAACCTCAAACCATCTGAAAGATGTTTAGAACTTCCTAATTGGGCAACTGGTGTCCACTTCCGTTTCGTCGGACAATAAGTGATAATAAGTAATATTAGGGTCTAGCAATCAACTGCGAAGAGAGTTTTAACTTCAATTCTACTATACTACGATGCGATATTTTCAGTCCTTCATTTGAATTGGTAAAACACATCGAGGTTGATTTCAAACTCTGTCCAAAAAAGATACACAGACTTCGCAATAAAATACAGCGAACACTAGGAACGCTTTTGGGGTGCATAATTCGTACTTATTCAGGCTTTTCAGATTTTATAATCGGACGATTTGGAAGCAACTGGTGATCCAGTAAGTCGTGCCGTTTTAATAAGACGATTGTCCGTGGATTAGGTCATGAAGACTGCCACAGTGGCATGGTCTCCCTTTCAGTCTGTTAAGAATCACGAGGCTGTCACTGGAGCACAAAACTGAACGTAATAGATGACCTCACATTCTTGTCTTATTCACTCTATCAGAAAGGTTCGATCCCACGAGTTCGGTCTGATTTAGGGTTTGCTCAATTTTCTGACTTTTCAACCGTGTTTGAGGAGTGTGAGGCGGATGCATTTCTGTCAGGCTATGGGTTCCCGAACTATGCCAGCCAAATATGTGATTTGAACGTAAACTCAAGTTTTTAATTTCATGCATCACCATAAGTATGTAAACAGAGAGAGAAGAATAGTTAACTTTTGTCACAAACGGAGACAGCCTGGACACATCAAGGCAACCGATCAGAAATGACCAGTTCGTTGCTTGTTAGTATACGCTACACAGTAGTTGGCCATTCTGAATAGTTCAAATATAAACAGTGGGGGGAGTGAAAAGACGGAAACTCATTGCACATTTAACCGCCACACTCGAATACGTATGACAACCACAATGCAAAATATATCTCGCTTCAAATGCTTTTGCAATATATATGTGCCTTAGAACTTCCAACTTGAACTCTGTTATCCGGTACACATTATTCGGAGTGAAAGAATCCTGAGACTAGTCGTCATTAAGGAACACCTCTGCTCTAAAAACAATAACCCATTTGATTGAACTTTAACCAGTGCATCTGATGGATCATGTTCTGTTCGAACTGAACTATGCACGATTTGTTCTCGTTCGAACGGGAACAAATTACGTACACCATGAAAACCATATACAGTGCTGGTTTCGATGGTTTTTTATTTACCATTCGCAGATTTGGAGCCTATTCTCAAAGCCAGATTTGAACTTCAATCGTTCTAACCAAATGCTTCCTACCTATCGTCTGTTGATCTATTGGTCTTAAATAGGAAAACGTGTTGTCCCCTTACACGTGTTCAGTTCCCGCTTGATTTCAGAGTACGACTCTCTTTAAGTTGCCTATAAATCAAACAGATACAGTTTCCTCACTCGAGTATCAAATTATCAAATCCTTGAGTGACTCAGTAAAATCTGTATTTGTGGACTATTCATCTCCTATGGATTCTGTTCCTCACCCCATTCTTCTTGTTCATAAACTGGAGACCTTTGGTTGTCCTAGACAGTTATTAGCTTGGCTTGTTGATCCCTTCCCCGGGAGAATTCAATGTACCAAGTTTAGTCGGAAGAAGTCCAAACCATTGGTGAACAATTCTGGAGTTCTTCAAGGTGCATTGCTTTCCCCATACTTATTTTATACGTATATTAGTGACTTATCTGCTAGCACTTTGAATTCTGGTTTCAAATACGCTGCTGATTTGGTGTTATGTTCAAATCATTTGTGATTCTTCTGTTTTTTCACAATTTTCTGACAACTTGGAAAACATTCAGCGATTTCTCGTCACATCCAGACTCTCTTTAAATCCATCCAAGTGTTTTGACTGTCTCCTTACATTATCACGTTCGTCTTTTCTATCTTAACCGGTATCAATTGGCTCTGAACCAGTATCCTAGGTGAAGTGTATGAAATACCTGGGGCTTTTATTGGTACTGATCTTCACTGGACCTCTCACATTCAACACATTGTCAGTAAGCTTCGACGACTTTCTTTTCATATCCGTAAAATTCGTCAGTTTCATTTTTAAAAAACAATTGTTTTCAAATTCGTGTACTAGTATGTTTTTCCCGTTTTACTTTATTGTTCACCTGTTATTTTTTCCAATCTGCTAAAGAAAGATTTAAAACTGGTTTGAAGTGGATTGACCAGCATTAGCCGTGTCTGTTCACTCTCGTTGGAGTTGATAAAAGTTTGTAAGTAAGAATCTTATAGACGTTACCCATCCACTACTTCCTGTCCGTCGAATCTATCAACTAGATCTCAGCATTGTAGTGCTCCCTCTCATAACTTTGCACTACTCTCTTTAGCACATCGTCTAGTTAACAGAGAACAAGTTTTCACAGACTCTGTTTTTAAATTTAAATTTTTTCCTTCTTAATTCGTACATTTTTAACTGATATGTAGGCTCTATGCCTAAAGAAGTCATAATTACAATTGCAACGGTGGATATGCACTACTGATGAGCTCTAATAAGGTCGAAAATCGAGTCTAATGCTTCCGAATGTACAGGTGTTGATCAAACTCGTGCAACATTACTCCCATTTTGGAAATACATTTCAGTCTCCAATATCATAATTATTTATTGATGTTTATGAGTAAAGTGTATTTATTTCCGATTTTATCTCCCACATTTATGTTCCTAGTTCTCTTTTATCACTGTTTTAGTTGTCGCGACCTTGAGTGTTGCGATAAAATTCGTAGTATTTCAAAAGTTACGGTTCAGATTTCAAAACTATTTTAAGTAAAGCAGCATGGGAATTCATTTTTTTAAATAAATGATTTCTGTTTCATGAAAGTGTTTATTAAGTCGAGCACACGTATTCTAAATTACTCATCGCTTTTCATTTAGGGCACAGTATATAGACAAATTGATGAATATATTTTAGCTTGAATAAACTGATAAATTATTTGACTAAAAACTGTTCACAGATTGTCCAAATTACTGAAAGAACTGAGAATAAAGTCCAAGAAACATACAGGTAGATCTTCGAAAATTAACTTTGAGGTGTGTAGCTCGTTGAATAAGCGTCTTGTAGCGTCACCATACCCGAACCAGATGAAACATTCAACATGTTTTGGCATATCATTGAAGCCTAGAGACAACTAAATCCAGATGCGCTTATAAACCCGTTGACTTAGTTAGTTTCTTATGGAAGTGATTTGATGTGAACATAAGTTCAATTAGTTGCATATTCACCAAAATTTCTCCATCAAGACACAAACTGAGAGGGCGAATACCGATCATATCAACGCAAGACTATGGTTGTATTTGATCGCAACAGAGAAGAGTTGCACAAAACCAATTTGGAGGATATTTCGAGCGGAATGTCCGTTTTTGTCTCACGCTTTCATTTAGAAAATGATGGCTCAATTTAAAGTGCAGCTGAGGCCATGTGATATAAAGCCGTTATGGAACGCCCAACAAAGCACGGCACGTAGTGATTTTACCAACAAATTCTTATCGAGTCGTCCATTTGGCAATGAGTTTATCTCACTGGTGTTCAACGAGTAATTCAGCATGCGGTAAAAGCTGATCGACTGATCTAGTTTTCTAATGAATTTCGTTTTATCCGGTGAAAAGAAGTAAATATTCGTCCCGCCTGACGAGTTACGACGGAAGTAAATACTGAGTGCTTTGTTATTGGTCTCCTGCACACACCAATCTGGATATCGCAAAATGTTTTACACTAATTAAGGAAGTTTTCCGTAACTGCTACTGTCTAAATGCATTCGCGGAAGTCATATTTTCAGAGATGGAGGTTGGTATATCTTCTCGCTTGAGGTTTGTAGTCAAATTCGTTCACTTACCGCGCAGCACCTGGAATTTTAATTTAATGGAAAACATTTCCTTCTATCAGAAACAGGGATAAGTCAGCTGCCTCTACATTGCTAGTCAGTGGGGTGTATTAGAGGAAACTGACAAATTCTGTTTGGCAGTTAACTAGGTGGACTCTATGCTAAAGCGGCTGTCTCCGGTGCCTCCAAAATGAAGAAGGGCAAGTGGAACATGGACGAGATTAAGGCACAATATCTTGAAGGAATTCTGAGTCAAATTATTAAATAAATTCTTGTTACGTTTTCCACTGTGACTTTGTTATTTTACAACTGATGCACCAGCGACCATCGTCAAAATTGCTAAATTGTACATTTTAATGGTATGTGGCTATTAGAAGCCAAGACACAAATAGGTATTAAATCAGATATGTTGCGTCTGATGTGGGGCCATAACATATTCAAGCCCGTGAATGATGCTGGGAAAAACGAAGCATTGAAATGAACAAATGTGACGAAAATCAGGATGATGCACGAGTTTGATCAACACCTGTATGGTTAAATCGCTGAACTGAGGATTGTGCGCGAAGTTGAAGTTTGAAGGACAGTGCGTTCAAATCAATCAATACCAATTATTCCACACAACTGCTCACAAGTAACTACGAGTTAAATGCGATAAATGTATTAACAATAAGTTATGGACCGTTGGTTGTAAAGCAATAATAGTGGATCAATAAAGCAAGCGGGTTTGGGGAAGTGTGATTCTAACGTCAATTTCAATTTTTCTCAACTCTTCACTACAACTTGGTCTATTAGTTCGCCGTAACTAACTCTATCACAAGCTTTCAAATGTTTGGAATTCTTTTCAATTTTGTTCACACTTGTTTCAACGGTTTGTTTCATCCCAAAATATGAATCATCACAGCAACATGTGGTTTCCGACATGTTTTTGCAAAATGTTTGCAAATGTTTTTGCATAAATCGTAAATGACCTTCAACTTCCAATGGCAACTTTTTCCGGCTGGAGGCTCCGTACAATGTGACGAAAAGCGTATGAGTTCAGATTTTATTCTGAATAGTTCAAAACATGCCATTTGAATAAACCGGGATCTGATTTGAGTAAAACGCAAATCGATACACTTGAATCATATCCATAATTTATCCGGTTTTGTAACTCGAGTGACCAGTTCCATTAAACTGCTATTTTTGAGTGATATCACGAGATAATCAGATAGATTTCACAAAACGAACTATGCTGTGCATTAAATGTTTTGTGTCAAGTTTACAGAACAATGTACGACACTATTTTTCCCCAAAATTGTTCGGTACCATTTTACAGTATCAGTGATTTCTGACTCACCTCTTTCATGTGTACGGAAGCCGCGTGCAACTGGTCATCCAAATCGGTCACTTGAACCGATGTTCGTCGAGAGCACTGGCTGTGGGCGGCACGAATCTCCTCAGGGACGGAAAACTTTCGAATGCGAATCGAACCATCGCGATCCTCATCAGCCTCCTCGTCGGTCTTTGAGATCAGCGGAAAATGTCCAAATGTACTCTCCGCCTCCAGTTCGATCGGAGTCCAATCCAACCGATCATCTAAATTCGTTTCTTTTTCCTGTACTCCCCAGTCCTCGGCCGGTTCGACCGGTTCGTCCTCCTGTCCGTGCAGTCGTATTTTCTCGGCTCGATATCGCTCCCTTCGTTCCGCACGTCGTT